CAATCGGTAGATTTATTGCTGGGCAACGTTTCGCCTTTGATACAAAAGCTTCGTCAGGCCAACTGACTAGGTTCCGAGGTTGGTTGAGATTTAAGGCGGAAGGAGAACAGCTAAGCTAAGTCAAGCTAAATCTCTGTTGGATGTCGGCCGAGGGATTTTAGTGTGTTAAAGTTGTTGAACAAGTGTTGGGTCGGTAACCTACATGACATGTGTTTGGGTCCAGCCTAGGGTCTAGTTCTTCTGGTTCGATTCATTTGATGGTTCCTCTTGAACATCGTTTGAACCTTCTGTCAGTCTGTGTGGGTGAGCTAGTGCTAAGCTAGTTATGTAAGAGGTATGTTGTGACCTTTGACCGGTTGGGGTTTCCACCCGCACCCCCCGGTTTTTTCTAATGATCCTAAGTGGATTGACAACCACACGGTCACGTGTCAACTCGGCTTGTCTAAGACCGCTTTCCATGCTCTCGCTCGAAGTTGTTATATGGTATATAAGCAATTCTCTTATTATGAGGTGTATTCTTCCCGTTTTATTAGCTGTTGGCTGCGAAAATAAACTGAAAAAATATTGAAAAAGAAACGAACCAAAAACGCACATTTTTCCAATCTTATCTCATTTTGGGTCCTAGTCTTCCCACGGACATCGTCATGAGCCTTGCATATCTTCAGGTGTGTCTGTCACCAGACTGACGTTTAATTCGGTCGCACGGGCAATTTAGGAATAGAAACAAGTTTTCATCTTCGGCTTTCCAGCGTCACACAGGTGTCCGTAGGTATTCTTGGCGAATCGCTGTTCGAGGTAGTGGACGTCTTATGCAGTATGCCCTTGTCGTTGATGCATTATTCCGTTACACCATTGAATTTCAAACTTGAAGTTCTACAGCTTACTCAGCATTCCTATCCGCCGATCGATATTACTAACTTTCGAATCAACCGTCCAGTATTACAACAGAGCACGGTGACGGAACCCGACCAGTCCTTCAAACTAACAAACACCATGTTACTATGTTTCCAGCGCTAAATCGCGTAAATCTCACATCCACGGTCAGTTCTTTTTATGATTTTTCTTCGCTTTCAGCCCTTTTCTCACTCAAGTGACGCACGTATTTCCCTTTTCCATCTAACATTTTCACAAAGGTTTTTGGCTGCGGTGGTAGTTCAACTTGTCCTGCCCCTGTTTGTATTGCCCAATCTACCCCGCGTAGATTTTTCCGCCAGTTAAGTTTATTGCCTGATTTTAAGTTCAAACACCTTTTCACTTCCCGGTTCTTGTATGCTTAGTCCACTGACGTCACGCCGTTGCCTAAATGGGGGACTGTGCCCCTCATTGGCCTTTCTCATATGTGTGTTATCGTCTGCTATCCCCCTACCCTATTGAACCCCAGTTTCTCCCTCTAGCGCGTGTAACCTATCCAATATATGTAATCCTCAGGGTTTCACCGAGTTAATGTAGTTTCTTGCCGTTTTCATATGTTACCTTTGCTAATCACCGCATTGTGTTGTCCCAGTGGGATCCACTTCAATCTGGCTTGGTAAATTGGTCGGTCATTTGGTCAGTTTATCGATTAAACAATGTCGCCAGACTTCAGCCGCATCTACACCTAGTCGTCGAAGATTGTGCATGGCACATCAACGGTACGCACGTAATGGTAACAATGGAAGGGTTGGTCGGTCAACTCCTCACTCGACGTCTTCTGAGTCGGTGAACGAGTCCCTGAGTTCTTCGGATGAACAGTGTGACGGTCGTGATTCACCTGTTCTACGTGAAGATGAGGGTGAGTTTCCTGAGTTCTTGTCGTGCGATCTTCCGCTCCTGTCTTTTACATACATAGCTACATCACAGATATGGTCGTGCCATCTATTCCTTAGTAGACAATCACGAACTGAAGAATCGCCTTATCTCTTCAGCAGCTTCCGCTCTTTCTTATTTTGTTGTGGTACCTGTCCGTTTTTCGTTTCTTGTATTATCCCAATAACTGTAATTGTAGCAGTTTTCTTCAACAGAGGAGTAGATAATCTCTCCTGATCGGAGAGGTCCTTTGTCCTTGGGGAATCGCGCACTCAATCTTGGCCGATGAGGAACGCTTTTAAGTGTGCTATACGGAACTAGAGCTTCTCTTTGATGGAATCTCTCGTAGACGATTACTGCAATGACGCGCTGTGTTCAAAGCCTATGCTGAAACACCTACGGTCGATATTTCTTTGGGAAGCTCTGAAACACCAACATTTCTGAAACTTATTCAGATTAAGATTTATACTGATCCAGTTACCTTTAGTACAGGCGACTTTTAGCCGTTCGCGGTATGGCGTTATGCAATCAGTGCTACTGTTTGTGAGCGCAGTTCGAGGATGGAGTCGAAATCTCGTCGATGTGCATCTGACTCGAATACGAGTCAAATCCAGATTGAACCTTCAAATAGCACCTCTGTCTTTTGGATTCCCATGAACGTTCCTTGAGATCTACCTGGACGTGAGTGTAACTGTTTGTAAACCACGTCTCACTCAGTCAGCTGGCTGCATGCAGAACAATGATCATCCAGGGAGAATGGCCAGGGAGTCTTAAGTGCGCGTGATTCTTTGGTGTGAAGTGTGAGCAAGTATTAATATATATACTACTTAACTTCAAACAGTAATGGAACAAAGCACCATAAACATTTAGGTTGAATGCCAATCTTTTGTGCAGTAAATCTCTTCCATCTGCAGATACTCCCCTAACCTCCAGTCAGCTTATCCTTTAATTCCCCGTAAGAATTGGAGACCATGCGACTCGAACATGGATCGCTCCTCCCCTGTAATTGTGAAACGAGACGTATCGTTTTGCTGAGTTGTACGAAAACTAAACGAGTTACTTTGACTGATAAACGGAAAGCTGACAAGGAAAGCTATCGAGCTCATGGTGAAACTGGTATGCCTATTGCAGGTTAGGTGCCAAAAACCTGTCATTATTACTGTCAGTTGCTATTATGATTAGGCTTATTTTGATATTTGAATGACGATTCATTGCCAAAACTAGGGTATTTTATTCGAACAACAGTACAACCACCACAGAAGCATCGTGAAAAGTTTTGGGGTGTTTACACTCCTGAGAGGGACTGCGAAATGGTGTACCTTCGTCGTATTTATGAAAGCGTTATGTGTGAGTCTGATGATCGAAGCCTGAATTTTTTGTAACACTGTTTCCATTTGTCGTTATTTTTTCGCAGAGCAAGTGTTGACGTTATGACCAGCGTGAACTAGATGTTTCCCGCTAGTTCATCCCAAGTTGATGATGTTGATTTGATCATAATGCATCACATCTAAATCAGTTTTCATACCATACAACGTTTAACACAAGTTTGGTTACAAAATAAAAAACCTTGTGTTAGTGCGTCGCCTCTGCTCCTTTACTGTTCCTTATTTTTGTGTTTGGAGTCAGCATAATTGCTGTGTTTTATCCCGAATAACTCACTTGTAGCAACTCAGTATATCACTGCAACTTACTAGTCTCCATTACCCGGTTGAGCTTTCAGGACATTCGTGAGTTCCGAGTGCATAAGCGAAACGAAGATTAAGAATCCCCGGATACTCAGTTGGCTGTGAACCCTACGCGATAAACGGGTGGTCGGTGACTTCGGTTCACTTCTCTTCGTTCATGTTACGGGTACTTAGATTTCGCACTGTTAGATCCGTCAATTTCCGCTCTACTTTCCTAAATTCGCTTCTGAAGACAAAGCCGACGCACCTTACTGGATTTCGCTGCCGTCGTGCATGCAATGATTTCATCTACAATTTAGCCACGGCTCGTGCAGCTGGGATCTGCCTTGCTGTTTCAGGGATACAAGACAACGAGAAAACCTGAAGTGTACCTTTGCACTTCACACGTACGAAACACGAGATCACTTTCGATGCTGATGCTTACCGACGATAATTGTGTATGATTTGTCCATCACTATACCTAATTCCGGATGTTTCAAACCAAGCCTGAGTGTTTATTGACCTAATTCCTGGCAACTGGTATCGATTAATCTTAGAGCGTGAAACCGATCTACTACTCAAATGCACGTGTGTGACAGGTGATGATACTGTGTCGAGCTTCGTGACATGAGACGTTAACATGAGGCGGTATGATGCTGGCATTCTAAGACGTGTTATTCTCGATTAAATTAAAGTTAATCTTGAACAATACCATAAAAACCCGAACAATTGCGTGACGTTTATGCGCCCGTCTCGATTCTCCAGGAATGTCCTTTTGTTCATCCTTGCTACTAAAAGATGGTCACTAGCAAATAGACTAGCTAATTTCCGTATTCAAGATTGGAACACCGTCAGAACGCCTTGGTTACGAAGGTTCCGGATAAAAATGTTTTTGGCACGCATGGCAAATTCTCGAAATATGTTTTGATAAGCTCTTTCCAGGAAAGATCGTCTGATCACTCTGACTTGTTCGGCAGTTATGTGCCTTGCACGCTGTGATTTTCTGGACAGGCAACTGCGTACTCATTTGGGTTTCTTGACTCCTGGTTCTTTGTGCGATTTGATTTTATGGCCTCTGGATATCTAGAATTGCTTCTATTTGGAATTAAAGATGGCATTTCAGAAGCCGTCAAATTCAGGCCAAATCCTCCTGGAGAATTCAGGAGGAGGGGTCGCTTCCCCTTGGAAGGCTGTTGTGTTGACTTGTTACTGAAATATTCGAATCTTCGATGGGGTTTTATTCGTTGCCTGAGTGACGCTCATAACAGTGGCTTTCAAACCTCCAGCTAACTTCCCTTTTGACCCCCTACACACGACGCAACCAGCCCCTTCCATCCATCCCTTGGAGAGTAAAATCACGATGGTGAAAACAGTGCACTTCATGTTGTAGAAGTTTCTCTTGCTCTGGTGGCGGCCACATCTATCTTATTGGTTGGAGCGAATTTCTGGAATTTAGGATCTTTCAGTATGTGTCAGAAGCCTTTAAGAACTCTATATGAGGCGCGCATTTCTTATTGAACTCACTAAGGTAGGAAATGAACAGAAAATTTTACAATAGCTACCGATTCATCCGCCAGTTTGGCCTATTTGGTGGCATATTGGCAATGCGAGGACCATGTAATAAGGTGTGTTGACTATCGTACTAAGCACTGTCAACACGCCAGAAACTTGTCACCCATTTTGTGGTTTTCGCTCTCCAGAACCACAGAGTCCTAATGATCTCATCAATTCTTATCCGGGGCAAACGAGCCTTGAACTCAAGTCGCAAGTGCTGATGGTGAACAGGGCTTGATTGCCCGCGCCAAGATGCCTACTGCTAAACGCGTGTCTTATGGCAATTTAAGTTCGTCCCTTTCTCTGAATGGAGGTACTGCCGCTCCAAATTGCACGGCCCCCTAATTCTTTGTTCGAGTGAGCGGATTTCAGTTGTACATGGAACAAGCATCGCCCCCACATTTGTGGTAGCAGAGGCCCATTAGCTGCACAATGCTCTCAGCTGCAAAACCTTTACGAGTGAAGTAAAACGTTTTAGGCCAAAATGTTGCATCTCTTTGCTTATGTGCTCAAACCAGAAACCATCCTAATCTACGCTCATATTTCCGCAGCTCCCCGAATTTCGTTGTTCACTGAGACAATCATACCCCTGGTGGAATAATTTCCCAGCATCACTGAGACCCGGGGATGCCCAAATGAGACTTAAAATTTTGGACTGATACTCTGAACTCAACTGCCCGTCAAAACTTTCGAAAATTCAATTCTATTGTGCGAATACTGATCACCTGTGATAGCACCTTGTACAGTTTAAATCATTCCTTTCCCCCTGTTAATTTGTTTTCCATCCAATGAAAGAGCTCGAGGATTTCTAGAATCCTCACTTTACAACTGTCTCCACATCCTTATTACTTTCCCCCTGTAGAGGTCGCAAGAACTGTGACCGCCGAAACCGCATCTCATTTAGCACGAGCTGCAGTCAATGTTCTTGCAACCTCGTCCAGTGAGGACTCCTTCTGTGGTGCATCGTCGAACGGTCGAACGACTCATACTCCAGACAACAACTATGCGCCATGTTTCCCAGTCCTTCCACGTTTGATCGAGGCACGATCTGGAGCCGGAGCCGGATGTCTGTGCGTAGACGGCAAGCATCATCTCATTTTGGTTGGGGGTTATGCACGGAAAGGCTGTTTGGTCAGTGTAGAGGTACATACAAGAAGTGGATCATCCTCTGACCCGGCAGTAACGGACAACCCACAATTTCCCTACTACTCTCTTGATGCCGCAATGCCTGGGCCCCGATTATCCAAACCCCGAGGTCGTCTTGCCCTGGCGCACTCGTTTTGTTCAACCACTGATGGTTTGCTAGATGTCCTTTATGTCTGTGGCGGATCCAACGGGTCGGTGGATTTAAACACGGCAGAGCGGTGAGTGTTTTTTTATACTATTTGAACGGGTCTATCTTTACCTCTCATGTTTCCAACGAACGCAAAGCTATCTCTACTTGTTTTCAGGCGCACACTTACTTCCACCGACTTGTGAACATGAGATCTGTTCAACCGTCTAACTTCGTAATTCTACAGACCTCTGTCTGCGGTATTTCACAAGGGTTTTGCAGCAGTGACAAGTTGTCTGGGATTTTTTTCCTTTCGGGACAAGAAGGAATGCAGACTGTAGGAGACTATATCTTACCGGCTCATGGGGTCCGTTCATTCGTTTGTTTCACGCAGCTTTACCAACCTCCAATCATAAAACCCGATCTTGTGTGTGGTTTTACAAACCGTAGTCTGACGTACGTCCGTTAGCCCCGAATTCACCAATACCTGGAAATAATCTACCAACTGATTTTTGCTGCCTGTCGGTTTACGGACGCATGTCGGTTGATACGTCCCGTTTATTCAATCATGGAAGAACACAGATGCATCCTGAAAGAGTCGCAAGCGCATCCACCGTTTCATTAGAAGTTCTTGGACAGCCTTTGTGTTTGAACTCCCTAAGAGTACACAGCTCTCTATTATAGCCGCCTTTTGTCATTCCATTCAAATTACTGTAATTGTAACTTACATATTTGTATACACGTTAATTACTTGGCTAAAGATACCAAACGAAATAGTGGTTTACCGATCTCAGTGGCGTTCATGCTGTCCTGTCCAGATTGTCTGGCTGGGTGCATGCTTGCGGGAGGTTAGCCTTAGGTTCCCTTTCCTACTACACTTTTTTCTTCCATTATAAGGCTCGATTTAAATAAATGGGCATGATTGTACCACCGTGAGGCACCATTGTTCTCATCTAATGTTGCTGTCAGTAATGATGATAGTGTCTCCTGATCACTCAGGTTGGAGGTTGGAGCATGTGTGGTAATTCTCTGAAACTCCCCGTCAAACACCAGTGTCTTGCGGTCAGGATTTTGAGCCGAAGGCTGTGGTCGGGATCCCTGTCTGTGTCCCAACTGGCGTACAGCCATGATTCCTTGAGTGGGAGTGCCGCACTTTTTGTTGAAGTCCTCTGTTTACGCGAAGTCTTGTGGCACATCTAGCAAAGATCGGTGTACCACAGTGCATGAAATAGAATGAAGTGAACAACCGGTTGTAAAGTGTTCATATAGACGAACAAATTACAGAGTTGATGGGCTAAAGTAAAGACACCATGGCGTGTGAATGTGTCTCCTTACGCAAGTGTTACCGAGCTTCTGGTTCCGTTTAAGGACGGTGGATTCCATAGTCAGTGACTGATTTATATGCGTTAATCTGGTAAAAGCAACCAACTCAGATAAGTTGGATGGGTCGACAACAACACCAGTCTGCAAAAAGAATACTCGTGACCATTGTCAGTCTGATTCCCGAAGTCGCTAGTTCTCCGATATCTTCGGCACGCAAACTCTTGACCCGTGAGCAAGAAGGTGGATTTAGACCACATATTCACACTTCGTTTCTTTTTAGAGCAACCATCTGTGCATAAATGACTCAGTTTTTTTCATGATGCAAACTACTCACAAGGTTGCTGAAAACTCCGACTCACAATACTATACTTTGATGCGTTCAGTTCTGTCAAGTACTCTGCTATTTTAACGATGCATGCTCGATGGAAGAGGTCCCAAAGGTTTCCCATACTCTGGGCGTTTGAGTCGTGAGGAGCTCACCAGCAGCCTTCACAAAATGGTTGTTAGACAGTGATATCCACTCCATCCATTTCTGTTCAACTTCGTTTTCGGTGGTCGAATCATGCAAGTACTGAAGGCTGTATCAACCCCGATGATCAACCCGTTGCTATCGATCCGGCGTATAAACACGCCTCTGTTCTTATGTTTGAAGTGGAACCGAATGAACATATTGGCTCCACGCACGGTTATTCAGAGCAAAAGCAGAATTGCGGAGACTTTGAGGAATATCACTTTCACATCTGAATTCCCCGGGTACTGGAGTTGACCAAGCAAGTTTCTGAGAGGCATGGTATGTCCGACCGATACCAATCTAAACTGCGTAGTTTGTTACTCTAATCGGTGTGGTTAAGCAAAGTGCGAACGTGCCAACAGCTCATAAACAATAGCCTTGTGGTGTATGGCCCCAGACCTTATGGTATGAAATCGAAAAATACTACGCTTCCGTTTTTAACTAATTTTCGCACGACAGAGATTAGGCGGATGTTGATACTCAAGCGCGTAGTCTTATCTCATTTTCAGCGGATAATCTGTGTTAGGGTCACTGGTGTAGTCTGTTTGTGTTGCAAAGCCAAACAGGTCACGAGATTCCACTAGTCTTTTACACTACCTCTACCCTACCTAATTAGTCTGCTTTTCAGTCATAATTACTGGAACTCTCCACGCGTCCAAAACACCGTATGCATCACATGATCCCTTGGCAGCCTGTTTGTGTGCAAATCTGTTTTGTTTTGTTGTACCGTAGACGCAAATAAACAGAGTCTTGTAGCCTTCAACTATCATCTAAACGATGCTATTTCAGAGGCATTTTCGATCGCTCTGGTTTACTTCAGTGAGACCCTACTCACCAATGTTTTTATAGGCTCAGGTTGGTACGATGTCTTCCCTATAGCGATATCCGATGACACATTGACCTATCGAGTTCATTGTTCCCCGTATATCTCATCTAACAACCAAGCTACCGAAACTCCTAACATTGTGACTAATTCTTCTAACCCTTGTAAACTTTTGTCGAGTGGGTCATTCTGACCTTTCCATCCAGTGATGATAGCATGTATAACAATGGTCAGGACACAGGGATAATATTGCACTCTGCTCATACATATAATCAATCTAGATTACTGTTGCTCTGTTCCGCATCGACATTATTTGGGTGACAACTGTATCAGTTTGGTCAGCTTAGCTGGCGATGCAGCACACAGTTCGGTTCCAATGATAGCTCAAAAGGGAGTCATCTCATTACAGCACTCCGAAATTAGTCACACCTTATGAACTTTCTGCGCATGTCTCCAATCCGCATATTGTCCTGTATAATTTGCTCATGTCCATGAGAAGGCTCAGGACGACTTCTCTCTTGCTGGGAGCGGGATGGCTCAGTGGTTGGAGCGCGAATTTACCGACGGAAGGTCCGTGGTTCGAATCCGACCTCCGCCACTCGACTTCCCCTGTCTAGGCTTGGGCAACCTGGCAGTATCCCAGCCCTCGTGCTTCCTTCGGTTGGCATGGCAGCTAGGCACCGGAAGGGTGCTAAATCTGAAGGCTTTTTTAAAAATCTTATTTGTCTCTTGTCTCCTTAGAGCTACTGGCTAAATCTTAGGCTCATCCGTGCTTGATACCGTATGTGGTGAAATATGCAGTGAAACTTTTCTCACTGGGGCCGGATTCGTTCACCTCAAAACTTAGCATTATGTGCACACTGCGTTTCAGATGACTCAGAATATTCCCATCCAAATGACAGCGCAAAATGATTGCTCGTTTCAGTTCACTTGAATGGTCTGGGTGATAACGTGAGCAGCTAGTCAGCAGCCACCAAATCAATAGTAACAATATGACTACAAGTCAAAACGGACCGCATTGTTGTCCGCATGAACACACGCCACCCACATGCAAACTTACTAACTCAAGTCCATCCCTCCAGTTCACGCCTACCTCGTATGTTGGACAGACGAAGATCGACCATGGTCCTTACTGTTGGGTCCCAAGAAATGCAAAATTCATATCCAGTACTTCCCTGTTTGGCCCAGACCGACCATAGTTAAGGTGACCAGTCTAACTAGAGTGCTGTGGGCTTACAAGGAACGTATTCATTAGCGATGGATTTGCTTTCAAACTATGAGCAAGTCTATAACACCTATTCATTTCCCCCTTGTCTGTCATTTCAATTTCCGGTGAGTGAGACCCAACTTAACAAATAAGTCTGCGGCCATCACTACAACATGAACTACCAATGTCTCCTTGAATTACAAATCGATTGTTCCAGTTCCGTGCACCTATACGTTCCGCACATCTGTGCAGGAACAGCTGTATTACAACATATAGCTACTGTCTGAAGCCTCCTACTTGTGTGTGTCCTCTTTTGCTCCATAATCAGTGGTACACGAAAACATGTGGAAGCTACCTACTTTGGTTTCTTCGCGTATCGTGTGTTTTGTCAATCCAGAAAACTGGTACTTATGTAGCGGTTGCCCAATCTGATTAGTGCATCCACATCCACTGTCTCCCTCGTGCTTTGTTTTGTTCCACATCCCACAACCTGCACCACCAGACAAGACGTGATTTGTCTGGATTGATGCCAGCGCCTGTATGATCCCTCTCTAAAGGAGGGAGTATTTGTAACGCTTACCCTTCTGTTTAATTATTCTTCTAATCATTTTCACACCGGCACCTACTACCCCCATTCCATTTTGTCTGTCTCACAATCACGCGTCAAAATCGTGACACTTACCCCGTCCATTAAATATCAGTTGGTGCCGAACAAGTTAGGAGAAACTCAATACCAACAGCAGTAGCTATGGCAAACATCTATCTGATAATCAATTGTTCGATCGCGAAAAAACTATTGAGGTGGTGAGTGGCAGCACATATATTTGGGCTGATGAACTCAGAATTCCTAAACTGCCGAGCACTTATGAATAACGGAATCATCATCATCAAAGACATGAATTTCAGTGCTGACACTGATGCTCCACTGTCGTACGACCGCAAGGTTCGTTTAATTATATTTAAAGCCCTAGAGTGAAAAGAAGAGAAAAAGAGTGGGTGAGGGAGGGGATCTAGTGCGGGCCTATGTCAAGCATTCTGAGCTGTTTACACCTCCAAGCGCCCAATCATAGAGTCTGGAAAGAAGCTGACAGCACGAACGCCACTGACTTCGATTAGACGCCATTTCTTGCAATGTCACCAGCCAAACACAGGCGGAGTTCACGTAGACCCCATCCTGGAAGGCGTACAACACCAACAGCACCCAAATTATTCGTGATCTCTTTCACGCCCTTCTGCCAAGCCTTGCGATGTTTATCTCGCGAGTTGCCCCATTCTTTAGGAGGCACGGAGGACAACACTCCTCTCGCTAGATGATGTTTCAACATGCGTAACACATTATTGAGCCATCGTAGTCGGTGGTGCTGGATGTTTTCCCCGATTGAAGTACCTGCCACATAACCGAATACCCATTTTCTAATCACCTCGTTTCTAACACGCTGACGTCATCCTAAATCAGTCACGCTTTTGAAGCATCGATGGTCAAATAGCTGAAGACGCCTGCCATCATTTGTCCACAGAGGCCATGTCTCGCACCCATACACCAACATAACCCTTTCTGTAGCCTGGCATACGCTCCTCTTAAGATCTAGTGATATACATTTCGGTAACAGGTAGATAGCAGTTTCTAAGGTGTCAGTGCGATGAACGTAGGTACTTCAACCACACGTAAATCCCGCCTTATCAAAGTGGTGTTCAGTCTTTGTCTTTATTCAGATCAATGCAAACGTAATTGGAACTGCAGAGGGAAATGAGCGATCCAATTAGCACAGAATTCAGTCTGAACCAGAATCTCTCGGCCTGTACCCGTGTTATTTGGACGGATTCTACCCACTCATTCAGTGGTTTCTCTCGTTGTATGTAATCACACGTAATAAATACGAGAATCTAAGCCACGCACAATTGAACCCGAACATTGTGAATGGCTTTCCTGAACCTACGGTTACCCATCTTCAACGGGGTGACTGCCCCATACTGCCTCACTAAATTAACCTTTATAATGGACCAAGAAGCTTTCAGACTGTATCGTACACATTAAGACATCTCCATCCGCCCCGCGACCCATGTATTTCTATCTGTCAAAGAAAATTCCCTCGATACTACGGCATACCGTTCCGTCGTAACCACGCGGCCTTGTAACGAGAGGCCATGTCTACATGACGGCCTCTGCATGATTTATCAACTGTTTCAATGGATGCAAAACTCTAGTTATGTTGGTGCTGCATGTACGCTCATCTTTTTTTGGATGCTACTCTCAAACACAGCTTGACCTCCTCAGCACTGAGTGATTGGCTAGCCGAACACGCTGAACGGGTCACCGAAGTAGTCCCCAACTCATCCCTACGGAACTCAAGTACAACCATCAACAGTGGCTGCCACCAGCAGGCAGCTGTTTGGCAGCCAATCGCGCGAATGAACCAGGCACGAAGCAGTCCTGCGGCGACCGGACTTGACGATCTGACCGCAGGTACCCTCGTCACCAGTACGAGGGGTTCTATGCTGGTTGCTGGGGGTCTAGCGGGTGCGGTAGCTCTGTCCAGCGTAGAGGCTTACATTCCCGAGCGAGATCAGTGGATTCAGCTACCGGATATGTGTACGAGTAAGTCGTGTCGGTTCTCATACGAATTCACTGCTTTGCTCTATACAGTCAGCACCAATCGAAATACCCTTCCCCTTGGTCCTCTTTAGGTCGGTACGAAGCAGCTTGTGCCACCTTGGGCTCCAAAAACTTGGTCTTGGTTGTTGGTGGTGACGGAAGTTCTTTTCGTCGACACGATAATAATAACGATGCTCTCGTCGAAGCGCTGGATCCTCGGTGTTCTAATTGGATACCACTTCCCTCGTTTAATCCCGGTGGTCATGGTAAACTGCGCGGAGCTGCTCTGGTACATCGACCGGCCACCGAAGGTTAGTATTTGACTTCTAATATTTGGTCCCTTACCAGTTTTCATCTACAGTCGGTCGGTCCTCATCACCTTACCGACCGACCCACCCATAGCGTGGTGGTAAAGCCGCATTGCAATGTTGACTGAAGTTCGCACACAATTGCTCTCTCGCCGACGATGTCAAATGTCCACGCTTGAATAGGGATTTGTCCATTCTCGCCACATGTGCTCACTACTAGATTGACAGGTTCAGACTACATGTTGCAGCAGACATATGTGACTGAGCCACTTAGTCAGAGGAAACCCACGAACTTGATGAATGTGCGAACTTCGAAAGCCGATGCATCAGTACCACAGGGTCACAATCTTTTTTTAGATTCGTTTTATTGTCACAACCCATGTTTGTGTCTTCTTGCCTTCTAATAACGCTCATATACACCACCAATAAATACCGTCAGCTGGCCATATTTAAGGCACATGCTTTAGTCGCACGAACAAGACTGAATCGGTCGGTCCAATTACTCCTCAAAAGTCAATCCAACTATTGGAATGTTGCTTCGCTCATATCAAGAGTTCCGTCTATTTGTAATGGTCCCTGTCTCGCATCTCTCAACTTTGCATTGTCATGGCGATCTTATTACTCTTCCGTAACCCAGTAATCATTTTTGTCCTTATGTTTGTGACCAAAACATAATTCCAGCCTGGCGATGTTGGACTGTTGTGTTAAATTGAATCAACGCACTCTGGTGACAATTCCCTTCATCATTGTCCATGTAGATAGTTCGGACATTTGGTTCATTCCCACACTTGCACGTCTTTTCCAAGTTCCCTCTCTTGACCCCTAATGACTCGCGATGGAGAAGTTTACAGGATGCTTTGATGGACCATATTCTGCAAACTCTTGAAGTTATGCTCGGAATAGGGTGCCTCCTTTCGGTGAGACAGTTTCATAATCGTAAAATTGTCACCCTTAAAGCCGACGCGCTCAGGAAAATTGACACCCTGATCACCCGGTTGTTCGCAGTGACCGCTTCCGTCTTGCTGGTGATGTTTATTTAATCGTGGGGTACCACGACTCGGTCTCAAAGGCATCTGTCGTGTTACACCGGAGTCTCAACAGTCCATCTTCTGTATCTCACTCCTTGTATCCTGCATTGTGATAGTTTTCACTTTAGAAAACATCCAATTTTATTGCATACATATCAGACTGCATCGGCTGGGCAACCAACAAGTATCTTACACTCTTCCTTAATCCTACTCGGTAGCCGTCGCCACACTTCCTTCAAGAAATCAATGATACAACGGATTAACTGAAGTGGTCAAATAGATACACTTTTTCTGGTGACTGACTTTTCAAGTTTCGTAACCTTTTTCACCAGTGGAACCGGTGGAGCTCACCGTCGGTCCTTGTGAGGGGTTTGTACCTTAATTTTTATGATGTAGTAGTGCCCAATCACGACAGCATTACCCTACTGGTACCAAAATCCCATTAGGGCGTCTACCGCTCTGTAGTAACCCCTTCAGGGGTATGCTCGATTTCTGATGCAGACCACTGCCGGAGGAATGTCCAACTACTCTGGAATTCCTACGTATAACGTCCCAGCGCCACCGGACTTGTGTCTCCAGTCGGGTCTGATGTTTCTCCGTCTCTGCGCTAACTTGCTGGCTTGTTCTGTTCGTATCAGTCTTGCAGCAGAGTTTCTACATTATTCAACATGCTTACGCTTTAGTGTGAAGCATTCTGATGCACTTTGCTCAGTAAGCCCACATCTGACTCTGTCGTTTTGATACTTGTTTCCTATGTTCTTCAAAAACTCCTTCTGACATGGATCAACTAACATCTGATTCTTTGAGATCAAGTTCATTCTATCGATTCGCGAGCGTACATATAAACAAACGTTTATGGACGGCAACGACCGCTTGGTACCATTCAGACAATGATGGAATGCTGAGAATGGTTGATTTGGTTGTCCCTTTTTCGAACAAAATCGAATCAATGAGAGTAGGATGATCGTAACCGATGTCACGACCTAGATCCAACATAAGCCCTTCAAGTACTTATCAAGGGGAATCCTGTTCGATTCTCCCTCTCCCGCACCCTCCAGGTCTGTCTTCAGCTGCATCGTCGCTGATGAATTCGTAGCCTATTTACCGGCTCGCTAGGAATCCATGACGCCTCTAGTCTAGATGTTCTTTTGTCTTCATGAGTCTCGCTCTGCGGATTCGCATATGCCAATCGAATAACAGTTATCTATTTGTCCGACCAACATATTCAACCGTAGTGCTTGAGCATGTGAAATATGGGTAGCACTGCGATGCTCTCTACGGATTGATAATGAGAGAGATGTGATCCCTCATATGGTGACATTTCTACGGGGCTGAACGCAACTCAGTTTTTGAATGCCGAATGTTTTAGCAGGCTATTAGCTTATGAAATTAAACACAGTCCGAAAGCTGTGTATTTTTCTTTATTGTATGTCTCGCTACATAACGTCACTTCTTCGGTACACATCATCCACACTTGTTTGATAACGTCACGTTATCGCGACCCTAGCTATGATACAGCCAGGGTCGCGATAACGTGACGTTATTAAACAAATGTGAGTGACGGGTATCGATTGATTGACGCTGTGTGACGAGAGATGTAATGGAAAAATTGTTGTCACGCCCCTAGGTGACAAAGGATGACGGTTCTGTTGTTTCGAGTGTATGCAGTGGTTGCCTTTTGAGTACAGGATAACTTTTATGGCCACATGGCTTCATCCGCATACTAGGGTTTCAGCTGATCCTTTGCCAGTACTGTGACCTCGAATGAGACCACCAAAAAGGAAAAGAATGGGGTGTTGAACTTCTCCCAACGGAGTGGCCTCTTTGTACACCACACTGTCGTAGACTCTTTAGAGTAGTCTCCCTTGTTCAGAAAGGTCTTTCTTAAGAGGATTACTGTAATGCAGTCCGCGTGTGTAGAGCAATGTCGTTATATCGCTGACTAGTCAGTGAAGCTCTTCTATTTTTACTACAACCGAGGACCCATCGGATTGTCGTTTTCCAATGAAAAAATGAATGTTCGGCAACTAGTGCTGAAATTCTGTCACTCACTCTGCGGTGACTGTAAACTATTTACTAATGATCAATGATGCCCGTCCGGCAACTGCTTCCACCTTCAAGAGGCAAATCTCCAAATAATGGATGTTTTTTCTGCCTCCTCTTCTGATTTCATATCATTTCATCAGTCTCTGATTGTCGTATATCGCACAATGAATTTTTTTACAGATGGACTGTTGTTGATCGCCGGCTTCAACGGGCAGGATACTCTGAATCGCACATGGTTATTTGACCCCACGGCTTGGCAGTGGTTACCCGGTCCGTTTCTCTCGACTGCCAGAACTAACCCCTGTGCAATTACATGGCCAGACCGGTCGGCAACCTTTGTTCTGGGTGGCTTCAACGGGACCGCATCAGCCACCGGTTTCTTGGACTCTATTGAAATGATCTCATATGTTTAGCTCTAGCTAAGTATCCTCGTTCAGACACCTCATATATTGCAGAACGTCCTCATCTCCATCGGCTACGCATCTGTTCCCCCCTCACCGAACACAGAGCGCTTTGGACTGACTGATCTTTGAGAAGCAACCGAAATTAGCTTTTGTATCATTATCTACTGTTGAATGTTCCAGTATTGTTCAATGCACCTCCCTTGCCCTCCACCATCTTGTTGACATACCCCAAAGGCGAGGTGCTATTTCTCTCCTCGTATCCCCTCATTTTTCGTTTCCTATTTTAAGATTGGATGGATGACTTGGCATTGATCGTGCACATGTCAGAACATTCCGGTCAACACCGGTGGGAATTTTAAACTGTACGTCCTTCATCATCCAGAGAACAAACATTTTCCCCAAAGATATGGATTTCTCATTGTAGCATGTTTAGATCTCACAAGACGTCTCGGGATGAAGTTAGTGTCTCGGAAAGTGTGGCTAACTCGTTTGGGATAACTGATTGCCTGTATTATGCATAAGCCAAATCCAAATCATATTTCAAGTCGCTTGTTCCATCACCACCGACAGCATGCCTCCAGAGGCTTATTCAGGCAATCTGGATAACAACGGACAACAAGAACGCCATTGACATCTACTAGCAGCCATACCTTGCAGCGTCTCCAACAAGGCGTGTCCCCATCCTGGAAGGCCAGTAGCACTTTGTGGGTGCATATCAAAGGACGGGATGACTTTGGTCAGTTCATCCAAAACAACTGCACCCTCTCCTCTGCTGTAGCACCCCTCCGGTGCCTAGCTGTCATGCCACCCGAAGGAAGCACGAGGGCTAGGATACTGCCAGGTTGCCCAAGCCTAGACAAGGGAAGTCGAGAGGCGGAGGTCGGGTTCGAACCACAGACCTTCCAGTCAGTAAATTCGCGCTCTTGGGCCATCTCGCCCTACCTTCTCTTCGAAGACGAGAACGATATCGTCTGCATATTCTCGATCGACAAGGATTTCGTCAGAGCCTACTTGAACACCGGGGGGTCCAGTATTCGTTGCACTGTCTCATCAAACGGAATTAAATAAAAATTGAGAGAGTGGGCATCTCTTACGGGCGATGAGGCACAAGTGATGCCAGAAGTCTCGTTACAACCGGTGTCAAGCTTATCCCCTTTTGGGCACCATCATCAACTCTCCCCAGTTGTCGGGACGGTCTCCTTTTCTCAGATGCAGACAAGCGCTGACCTTGAACACTGCAGGTGGGAGGTAATCCTAACCAGAGGCTCGTTGGTGCTTGAGAGAACCTTTGCAGTTATAAACCTCCGATGCAGTTAAGGGGTTCTACGCCCGTTGTGAGCTCCAAATGAGAGGCGTCCCTCTTCATTCAAGATGGTCACTTCATTCTGATCCTTGACAATTTCGCTCACAGGTAGTTCCCGGGGGTCGGTCGCCCCGGTCAACTGAATCAATATTCTGGGATTACTGGCTTTTTAGGCCTCTTCCATTTCCTTGGGTTTCCGTGTGCACCAGACTTCGCGGTCGGCTCGCATGCCCACTTTCAGTTGACGTCTGGTAATTCGTCGCTTCAGGTTATGTTCTGAACCGGCTGGGATATTTATCCGAGATTTAAGTAGTGCTACCCATCGATATAAGATGCCTGGCGTAAACACGACCATAGTTGCATACTAATTTGGACGATCCTGTCACCTGGCACAACAGCTCCCAGGACCTCCTTGTACTCTTTAGCTGCTCCTTGAACTGACGAACACCAACCCGAATAGCTCCTCTATCCATTACTCTTCCTGCGCCCTAGACGCTGGTTTCATCAGACCTTTGTGGTGGCTTTTAAACAAATCTGTGCAGTCCTCCTGAGTAGATCAATGGTTTTTTAGTTTTAGGGGATGCCTTTGTTTGGTACGAAACTAAACTACACATGATCAACTCTGAGAAACTAGGCTAAGCGGGTAAAACGTACGCATCTCACTAAAGTTTGATTCGTGTTTGATTAATTCGAATAAAATTTATTCTTAAATATGCTCATTTCGGAGTAAAGTTTTTGACACTTAAAACCACGGTTACTCTACATATCTGGTGAATCCTACAATTTCCATGCTTTGTAAATTGGCTAAATACAATGAAGCACCTGTTCACAGTTTCGGTCACAGCTGCCACGCGAATGAAGCACGGGGGCTGGGATACTTATTGCTAGATTACCCAAGTATAGACAGGAGCAACCGAGAGCTGGAGGTTAGTTGTGAAGCGCGTACGTTCCCACCAGTAAGTCCGCAACTTCGCCACTGAGCCATCTCGAGCTCAACTATTAGCCAATGAAATCTGATAAACTTACTTTCTCAGGATCATTGAGTCGAACAAACTCGACTGAAAACACCATCGTAAGTTTAGAGGGATGGATATATTTATTCGTTTGGTGCACAATTATTGTCCATCATGACAGTTGTTCTCTTGCGTATACTATCTGGGTGTCTAGTCCGCAAAACAGTAAGCTCAGTTACGGGGGACTTTTGGATGCGCAAATACGTGAAAGGATAGTTGGCATCGTTAATCGCTCTACAACAACGTGCACAACACCACACCACTCTTAAGCAGCTTGTTATCATATCGTACGACTAGTTACTAGAAAAACTGCCGCTTCGTTGGCTCCACAGAAAGCATCATAGTGGATTCTTTGCTATGCATCCGAGTAGCTCTTGAACGATATCACTTAGACCTGCAGCTTAATCAAGCTGATAGGGCATTCGTTTCTTGTCCGATTTAGGGCGCGGTGATTAAAGCGCGAACTTATTAACCCTAAGATCCATGGTTCGAGCTGAACATCGGTATCTCGACTGCTCTTGGCTAGGCTTAGGCGACCTGGCAGTGCCTCAGCTCTCGTGCTTCCTTCGGGTGGCGTGACAGCTGGACACCGAAAGGACATAACAGCAGAACGATTCGTTCATTCATCTTCTGACTGATCCATACACGTTTCTGAGTGTATGATCCGAAATCAGATTTGCCTAATTCAAAACCCCTTTCAGTGGATCTGAGGTTGTTACGGTAACATTTTGTAGTTTCGCACCTGGCCAGGTTTACCTGAGCCAAGGGTAATCAGAACAACTTTCACTCCATGAGATAGAGTCACCAGCTGGTGTGACAAATGTGCCAATGAGAATAAACAGAACCGCTGCCAATCACGGCCAAGCAACGGACGATTCTGCAAACCGGAGGTCAAAATGCCAAACCTCCATGGCCTCGTGCCACTTTCCCATACACATCCGACTGGCCAGTCCGACCCAATGTTCGGCTCAACTAGATGTCGAGTAGGCTGTGGTCAGACAGACGGACAGAGAGAATCTATCTCTTCCCAGCCAGTCGATTGTGCCCATCAGTTGTTCTGCCTGTTCTTCAGCGATGCCCTGATTCCGGTTATACTCGCGTCGCAGCTATTCACGAGTCACCGACCCGAACGCCTCTATCGAGTCGAGTCCAACGTGACCCATCTGAAACGGATCGGCAAACAATTTTGCGTGCGCTGTTCGGTTGGATTTGGTGATTGTGACTTATTTGGGAATAATGATGAATGGTTTTGTGTTACTTTCCTGCCGTTTGGAAACTTTGAAGATCAATTTTATTTTATTTCAATGTTGTGAAGGTATTTGGCTACCCGAATGTATGTTGTCCGTTTCCTTTTATGTGATGAATTACTTATTTTGTTGGTCTGTTTTTGTGAAGAAGCCCATCTCTGTTAGAGTGCTGCGTTGGTGCTTACTGTACATGTAAATTCATTAGACTGTGGGTGTTTCAAGATCCAGACAACCGGAAAAATCTTTTGTAACAGGAAGCAGTCGAACTTATTCAAGTTAATTCGACCGCACGGTCCAAGGAGGGCGAAAGTTAGCCAAACAATCTCAGAAGACGGGACCGCATCTGCTTCGGAGAAAGGTCGGCTTGAGCGATGGGCTGAACATTTTGAAGACCAGTTCAGCTGAGCTCCATCAACTCACCCCCAAAAGGGCCAACTGGAATCGAGTATGACGTGAATGCCAGTCCGCCGTAAACACGGAAGTAAAGCGTGCAACCTCGCTGCTTTAGCGGAACAAAGCCTTTGGTCCATGTGTCTTGGATCATGCACTCTTCAAAGGTGGTGAGACCCAAAGTGTATGGAGTGAGTCAAAAATACCGACAGAGCGGAGCTCCTCGAAGGTGGTTCATGTGTACGCATAAAGGGTGCAAGAACATCGTGCGAAAATCCCCAGGACATTAGCCTAGTGGCTGTAGCATCTAAGGTGTTCTCTAGCATTATCCTGGGCGGGAGCCAGATTTGTGAGGGTCAAGTAGAGTTTCATCCCGGCCGGGGTCGAATCGATCATGGCTTCACTCTGCGACAGGTGATTGAAATGCGCCAATCCTTTCGACGACTAACAGTGATAGCCTATCTAGATACCGGAGCTGTTTTTGATTTCATTGATTATCAGAAACTATGACAGTGTCTGGTGTTCCTACTCGATTATTCTCTTGTAAAGACTCTATATGCCTCCTCCCGAGAACGCGTACGTGTATACGGCAAATTCTTTACTGAGCTCACCAAATCCATTGGTGTTGGGCAAAGTATGTCTTCGTTCCTCCTTTCTCGTTAACTTCTTTATCGATGTGCTGCTCGAGTCTTCTTTAACTGTCTTTGACACCGAGGCATTCGCCCAAGGACGTTGATTGGATCCTTTAGAAATGCGAAGCTAAATAACCTGAATAATTATGCAGCGCAGCTCATTAAGCACTTCGCACTTGTAAATTGTACGGTGCTACTGTAAAATTGAGTGGGTTGGTTGCAGGTGAACCGGTCGATATCAGGGATACGTTCACCTGGACAGCTGCGTAAGTCCCGACGAATTGACGAAAGATGAAATCACTTTCCAAATTGGGAAGACCAAGGGAGTGTTTAACAACCTCTGACATTTGTGGCGCCTACGTGACAGCCTGATTTTCAAGGGCACAGTGTAAAACGTCGCAATCCGATCTGTCCTACTTTGTGGATCAGTAAGGTGGCCGCTGCGTGCGGAATACCTTCGGAGGCTCTGTTTGACCATCAATGCCTCCAAAGTATCGCGCAGGTATGGGGATAGCACCAAATCAGTAGTGCTGAAGTGCCACTCTCCCTCGATAGATAAGCTGGTCATGCTCCAAAGGTTACGCTCGTTAGGCCGCGTACTTCGTATACCAGAGGACAGTTTGCCTTATGGAGCCCTCTTCGTCCAGCCTTGTGTGCGATGCAGACAACCGAGAGGTGGTCAGTCCATGATCAGGCAGCGAAAGCCCTCGCCACTCAACTGATTCGCGTCGGCAACTGCAGTACCCTCTGATGGGGACCGGGAGACAAGGCAAACTAACGGTTGGTGACCGCGACAGTCACGACACAGCTAATGACGGTCTTGCAACAAAGCTACCGCCTTCTCTGCGTAGATCTCAATTTCTACCATACTGGACTAACAGATCCATTTGTCGTCAGTGCAAAGACTGAATCATAGCTTCCAGCACGTGGATCTCATTCCCCTATTCTCCAGCTACCACCTTCACTGCGTAGATCTCAATTTCTACCATAGTGGACTAACGGATCCATTTGTCGTCAGTACAGAGACTGAATCATAGCTTCCAGCGCGTGGATCTCATTCTCCTATTCTCTTTAGACTAGAGACACTGCCCTTCATTGAGCTGAAAAGTGAACTGGAGCCTCTAAAACACTATTGCTCTTAGCACAATTTTCGACTTTGGAAGTGCACTAGCCACGAAGAGATACGAAAACGTTCCGCACAGGCCACTCTCGATAGCAGCACTGGTCCACTCGAACCAGTATATCAGGTTCGGACAAGTCAGATGACCAAAACATTCTAAGTAAGCATTGTTTGCGTAAGTTGAGCGGACCGATTCAAACAGATTTTTCCTTCCGAGTTTCCAGTGGATATGAAATATTGCACAGGGCATCGCATCTAACTCAGAACTGAACACCATTTGGGTTGCTAAAATTTCGTTTTATGAGCGAACATGTACAGTTCCGACAAAGCCGTGAAATTTCATGCATTTCGGAAGAGAAGCACACTTCAGACATGTTAGACCAAGAGATGTTTGGCAGCCAATGAGAAAAACCTGGGCATCTTAACAACAAGAAGTAGTGACCTTCGTTTGGAAACCTGAGGACATGGGTCATCTTCGATACTCAAGCAGCCGGATACTGGTAACGTTCAATCATTTGGTACCTGCTCGCTTAGTTCCGTGATACAACAGAAACTGATCGGTAACCCTAGGCACTGAAATACAGCAGCGTAAACAAAAGACAAATAGCTTTTGAAAATAAGATGAACACTTGCACAGACTGGGTATTTACAAGGTCCTTAAAACATAACGTCATTTACTCGGTCCACTTATGTAGACACTCGAGGTTGGTGCACACGTAGTACAGGCGCATATTTTCCTCAGCCTTTAGCGTTTGGGATTGGAAAAATACGGCTTCTTGTTTCCCACAATTTCGACACTTGTGATCTTCGGTTCGTGGCAGCGTTGGATCGTGAACCACATCTGGAACGATCAGGGCAAGTTCACTGGATGTGAAAGGAAAAGAAAGGAAAGTGCAATAGTGTCTTGGATGAGTTAAAAAGTTGAATTGGAAAAAAACAACCCCCACTAGACTGTTCCAGATAAACTCATATGGATTCATTTTGCAAGCACAGACTCGTGAGTCTTATGCAGGATTAAGTTTCCAGCACACACCGATTGTATACTAAACCCAGTTAAACATGGCTTAAAAGGTGTCTCCGATCTGCTTGATCGAGTGGATGCTATCACGTGTCGTCATCGTTTTGGTACGGATATTACCCGATCCCAACTAGCCCGTGAATTGGGACGGGGTGGCTGACATGAAAATTCACCAGAAGCCACAGATGAGCAATGGGTACTAGATAGGGACTAAAGGCAAACCATCCGTGTACGCCACATAGGTAATAATACTGTTGTGTCTATTCAAAGCCTACTGACACTCAATCTATTCGTTCTAAACAAAATTGACCCCAGTCATTCTCATCAATGGGACTCTAAGGGCAAACATCTAATAACAAACTCAAACCTGGTAGAGCTAATATCAAGGTCGTTCCACAACCATAGCGAAAAGTGCTAGGTACTTCTCATTCACAAGGAAGATACACTGAAACATTAGTCAAGACGGCCGTTCTGTTCTCTGTGGGCATGACAAAAAACGTTGGAAGCGATCTATAGGTGTCCGGTGATGTGCCTTCCCTTGAAATACTGTATGATGCGATGGATAGCCGTGGCCACTATTCCATTATTGTCCGACCGAATGTGCTCTGTTCATTGTGGCAGTACAGCACAAACCACGTCGCCAGAAAACAGCACAAGAGTAGCAAGGCCCTTTCTGACTAACACAGTATCTCGTTTCTATTTTGACTTCAATAATTCAGCGAATTCGGCTGTGTCGTGCATGAAAGAATAATCCGAGACTTGCGGTTGCCGGGAAAAGTCATACTGTGGTACTGAAAAGGAAATCGTTACAGACGGAATCACTAAGGGAGGTTGATATTGTGCAGGGGAACTTGGAGCGGCAGCTCCTCACCTTCCTAATCTTACGCAGTCCTATCAAAATAATACCTATCCCTATCGAAACATCAAAAGAGTATTGATACTCAGGGTTGTAAACAAATGGATTCAATAAGTCTTTTCAGACACTGAAAAGTATAGACGAGTGACAAGCTCCAGAGCGCCCAGTGATTAAGGCGCGAGCTTACCAACCAGAGCTTGAGCAACCTAGAGCTATCTCAGACTTCGTGCCCACTTCCGGTGGCAGGACAACAATGCACCGAAAGAGCGTTACAGCTGAACGATTATCATTAGCGTTAGTGGTACTGTTATTATTATTAGGTTCGTAAAACACGGTACAACGGTTTTGGATGTTTTCACAATGCAAATACACTATCCGCTCAGCTATAATTGTTGGTGGTAGGCTGGTAGGCCAAAGCAAGGTCAGAGCCTGCATGTATCTTTTGTTGGGACGCCCTAATCATGTTCCTCTTCGTCCCACTCCAAATGATTGTTACACACAGCTTTATAGAACAAAAGCCTGTGTCCGTGCACACACTGCCTTAATTACAACTCCCACATTATTGATTTCGATTTTGTTTTGATCTCTCTAGATTGGCCTGTCGCTTGCTATGTGGGGGGGGGGCAGTGGAGAGCTCCTTTGCTAGGATCTCAGAACATCTATCAGACTGTAGTTTGAGTGCGACGGCCGTCTGCTTGTGATGGACTAGACTATCAGTTCGAAAGATGGGTTTAACTAAAAGGGCAACACTTAGATAACTCGAACTATCTTCAGGCCTGATTTCGATGAGTTCATTCAGGAATGTAGTTGATCGTTGGAGATTGCGGAAAAAATCCTTGTTAGTACATGTCCTTTCGACTTCTGAATATTACCGTGGGACGAGTCAATGCCTGGAGTCGGTATACCTCCTCAGAGTCATCAAGACCTTTGCGGGATTTCCATGCTAATCTCCAGTTTTGAAGAAACCTTATATGAGGGATGATTGCTGCAGGATTAAGGGAGTGGGTCGTATCTAATTCAGCAAAATAAGTTCCGAGGTTCCTCAAGAAGTGGTTTGGTTGTTGGTGTGTCATCAATAAGGAATTGTTTTGTTTGCTTTTCTTGTCCGCGTGGGCAACAACTTCAAACGGCTGATGTCACAAGTCACTGATCTTCATGACTTGTTGAGGGCGGCGGACGCGGGTAAAATGGGTTCTGAAGTTTTTACACCATAGCTCCTGTAGGACTGTGGTGCATACCAACGAAGACCACAAAGGCGTTTCCTGTAGAAGACCACTCCTCAGAAGAGGCCAGCAGGCCCCCTTCCCTGTGGTCTGCCCTCTTCGGGGAGGTTGCTGTAGTAATGAGGCGGCACAAAATGCCTGGAAGCTTGGTAGGAATGTCGCCTATTAGGAGGCAGGGTTATTATCTGGAACGAGTTGCACTGGACAGAAAGAGCAGGCGGTTTGATAATGGATGTCAAACTGCAGGAAGAAGTCTATCGGCACGAAATTAATTGACAACAATGAACTGTATCACTCAGGAAACCTGCTGATGCCTTCATACGAGCTGGTTGTAGTAAAACAAACAGCCACCGAGGTTCTACGGATTTTTTGGGTGGTAAAAGGACCACAGGGCAATATGATTCGGAAAATCAACGTTACCCAATGAAACCCTAAGGACCATTCAATGTATCGACTGTCCGACCGCTAGGAGTGGAATATGAAAACTTACTCAACTTCTTGTTCCAGCTTGTTAATGTAGACGCATGGATTGTCCGCCTCCTGGGTATAGTCACAATTTCGACAGGCGTAGTTTAGCCGTTTGTTCCGTTTATCTTCCTTCGGATAAAGCATATTGTTGCACTCGCTACAGAAGAGGATACCCACATGGGTATGCGGTTTTTTGATTTCGTACTAGAACAAAGATGATGATAAACTTCACAAACAAACTTCGTCCATCTGAGGCAGAAGTGGAGCGTGTTTGTGTAACTCCCTTCAGTAAACTTAGATCTAAAAGTCACATACAATAGAAACGTGATAGTTGGAGTATGCGAAGTTGGGATCGGGATCAAGGAATGTTTTGCGAACCCAAGATGGGGACACAAAAACACCGAAGATTCAGTGTGCTTAAAGGCGAACAACAGTATCTATCACCTGAACGGAGAAGTGGGATATAAATTGTGAATTTGGAAGAATTCGTAGATGGGTCACAATAAAAGTTATGTGTATTCGCTACTGAGATCTACTCTGAGCCTTTCAGCCAATTTCTAGCAAGGTATAATGTTCCGGTTCCTAGCTAGAGAGTCTACACTAACCGACAGAGGACAGTCGAGGGGTGAGGATCTTCGTGTTTAGGCAACAAGTAATGCTTGGACAGTTCCGATGTCTTCTCCACCATCCGGTTCTGCGAAGACGGAGCAGCGCAAAAGCCATCAGTCCTCAATACATACGCTAACCATCGGAGTCAATGGTGGTTTGTGGTGTCCTCTGGCCCACCGCCATGACATCCACGAAAGACGCATCTTCGTCTGGGCGAACACTTGAAAACCTGACTCAGGTAAGCTGCCCAGGTGAACATATTTATCTCCCACGCTGATTGGCTGGTCCGCGTGAGGTATGGGCTTGATCCCACCCACTTCTGTAAAAGCACTTTACACTTTGCAGGTGGGGAGCGCATGTCAAACCGTGCGGTTATTTAAAATGGTATGCATTTCTGTAACATATAAACTAGGAAGGGCAATATCGTCTGCATACTCAATGCCTGTGAGCGAACGTCCCGGGAACATTTCGAGAGAGACAGGGAAATTTTAAGCAGCTTGTCAATAACAAAGCTGACGAAAGGTGAGAGAGCAAACCTGTCTTACACCGCCTGGATGTGGCGAAATCTTGCCATCTCGTACTTGAGATAGCTCAGTGGTTAGAGCGCAGATCTGCTGACCGGAAGGTCCGTGGTTCGAGCCCGACCTCTGCGTCTCGACTTCCCCTGTCTAGGCTTGGTCAGCCTGGCAGTATCCCAGCCCTTGTGCTTCCTTCGGGTAACATGATAGCTAGGCACCAGAAGGACGTTTCGGCTGAACGATAATATTTCATTTTTGTCTCTTATTTACCCGTCCACAAGTGTACGGTGCCCTCATCATCAGCATTATCACAACTGCGCACAGTGGTTATAGCTGCCACAGTTCCGTTCACCGACGATTTGGGAAGGTGGGGTAGGTAGCTGCACACTGGAGGCGGAAGCTGATATAATTGATGTTTAGATACAGGTTTGTCAGTGAACTTTTTAGTGAGGAGATTGAGGAGGGAACTATGCACTGAAGGCAATAGCTTGGGTGCACGAGCGCTATTGTGGGTGCGACTGGGCCATGTTTGACAATGTCTCTAATCATTGTTGTGTCCCGTCTCGGGGCCCAAGCGAGGGAGAAGACAATGACCAGCGCAGCTGAGTGTGCTGATAATGGCCTTCAAAATTCACTACCAGTTCATTGTTTAACCTCTCCTGGTTCGTTTCCGCCCTCCGTGTAGCTGTGCGGAAAGAACCCTTCGAGGCAGTCTGTCGACTGGCATACGGTGCACGTGGCCAAGCCAGCGCAGCCTGTAGGGTGTGATAAGTTAATCTACCGTGGATGAGTTACTTCTTCCGAAAACTATTCGACATGCTCCAGCGTTGTTGATCGGGTGTTCCCAACAGACTCGGACAACGATCCGAAGACACCAATGGCCAAACACTGAAAGTATTTTGGCGTTCTCGGCGCACAGCGGCCGTATAGTAATATGGAGCGCAGCATTGTAAACTCAACTCTTGACGAATAGGTTGTCACGCCTACGCCACAAGTGATGCGGGTTCACGAAGGCTGCTTTGGGATTTCCAATCCGGATCAAAACATTTTTACGGGACAACAGAGACCGATACGGCTGCCCAGGTGATAAACTTGTCTACTACCTAAATTCGCTTATCCGCAAGCAGTAGGTTAGGGTTTGAGCCCACCTAGTCCTTCAGTAGGAAGGTGTGAAGCACATGCCAAAACGTGAGGTAGAATTATTCAGATTATTTAATCTTGTTTAGGGCGAGATGGCTCAATTGGTTAGAGCGCAAATCTGCTGACCGGAAGGTCCGTGGTTCGAGCCCGACCTCTGCGTCTCGACTTCCCCTGTCTAGGCTTGGTCAGCCTGGCAGTATCCCAGCCCTTGTGCTTCCTTCGGGTAACATGATAGCTAGGCACCAGAAGGACGTTTCGGCTGAACGATAATATTTCATTTTTGTCTCTTATTTACCCGTCCACAAGTGTACGGTGCCCTCATCATCAGCATTATCACAACTGCGCACAGTGGTTATAGCTGCCACAGTTCCGTTCACCGACGATTTGGGAAGGTGGGGTAGGTAGCTGCACACTGGAGGCGGAAGCTGATATAATTGATGTTTAGATACAGGTTTGTCAGTGAACTTTTTAGTGAGGAGATTGAGGAGGGAACTATGCACTGAAGGCAATAGCTTGGGTGCACGAGCGCTATTGTGGGTGCGACTGGGCCATGTTTGACAATGTCTCTAATCATTGTTGTGTCCCGTCTCGGGGCCCAAGCGAGGGAGAAGACAATGACCAGCGCAGCTGAGTGTGCTGATAATGGCCTTCAAAATTCACTACCAGTTCATTGTTTAACCTCTCCTGGTTCGTTTCCGCCCTCCGTGTAGCTGTGCGGAAAGAACCCTTCGAGGCAGTCTGTCGACTGGCATACGGTGCACGTGGCCAAGCCAGCGCAGCCTGTAGGGTGTGATAAGTTAATCTACCGTGGATGAGTTACTTCTTCCGAAAACTATTCGACATGCTCCAGCGTTGTTGATCGGGTGTTCCCAACAGACTCGGACAACGATCCGAAGACACCAATGGCCAAACACTGAAAGTATTTTGGCGTTCTCGGCGCACAGCGGCCGTATAGTAATATGGAGCGCAGCATTGTAAACTCAACTCTTGACGAATAGGTTGTCACGCCTACGCCACAAGTGATGCGGGTTCACGAAGGCTGCTTTGGGATTTCCAATCCGGATCAAAACATTTTTACGGGACAACAGAGACCGATACGGCTGCCCAGGTGATAAACTTGTCTACTACCTAAATTCGCTTATCCGCAAGCAGTAGGTTAGGGTTTGAGCCCACCTAGTCCTTCAGTAGGAAGGTGTGAAGCACATGCCAAAACGTGAGGTAGAATTATTCAGATTATTTAATCTTGTTTAGGGCGAGATGGCTCAATTGGTTAGAGCGCAAATCTGCTGACCGGAAGGTCCGTGGTTCGAACCTGATCTCTGCTTCTCGACTTCCCCTGTCAAGACTTGGGCTATCCCGCCCTCGTGCTTTCTTCGGGTAGCATGGCGGCTAGGCACCGGGTGTTACAGCTGAGCGATTTTTTATTGTTTGCATTGCAACGGCGTCAGGTTCAAGAAGGCCTGTGTTGTCTGCCTACTCGGTATCTTTGAGCGGCCGCCCCGAGAGCACTCGAACCCCACAGACATTAGAAAAATCGAAATTGTTAAGCTATAGCACCCTTTCGGTGCCTAACTGCCATGCCACCAGAAGGAGGCATGAGGGCTCGGATACTGTCAGTTTTCCCAAGCCTAGATAAAGAAAGTCAAAAACGCTGAGGTCGGGTTCGAACCACGGACCTTCCGGTCAGCAAACTTGCGCTCTAACCACTGAACAGGCATTAGAGGCTGATAGTGAGTCTTCCATGATCGAGATGGACCAAGTGGTTAGAGCGCGAATTTACTGACCGGAAGGTTCGTGGTTCGAACCCGACCTCTGCCACTCGACTTCCCCTGTCTAGACTTGGGCGACCTGGCAGTATCCCAGCCCTCGTGCCTCATTCGTGTGGCATGGCAGCTACGCCCTGAAAGGGTGTACAGCTGGACGATTTTTTTCCATGATCGTATAAATGACAAACTTTAAGAGGAAAGAGAACAGCCCTGCCTGACACCAGTTGATGTGGTGAACTCAGGCCAGAGCTTCCCATAGACCTTCACATGTCCGCGGGAGTTGGCGTGGATCACCTTTAAGAGGGTCAATAATCTACAGGGACAACTTTGCTCCACGGAAAGTGCCATAGTGCCTGACGGTCCACAGAGTCAAAGGCAGTTTTAAATTCAATGGAGACAACCATTGTTGGACGATAGAAACAGTGTTACTGTCCTGGAATCTTTCGGAGGGTGAAGATGTGATCGATGCATCCTCTTTCAAAACGGAACCAAGCTTGGTTTTATCGGATGTCTCTCCTTGTGTTCATTCAACCTTCGAAGGACAGGACCAGAGAGCATCTTCGAAGCCACATCTAACAGGCTGATGCCACGGTCGTTTTGACGCAGCGCCGGTGTAGCCTTTTTGAAGACAGGAATAATTGTCGACATGCCCCACTCTGTCCTATATCGCTACAATGGGCTTTGTTAGATTGATCACCAGGGATTCTCCGCCTTCTTAGAACAAGGCTGGATAGAAACCGTCTAACCCTGGTGGCTTCCCATGTTTTAGTACGGATATTCTGTACTTTGTTTTTTCTTCCGATGAGCGATTACGGTTTATATTCCATAGGCTGTGCTGCACAGGCTGTGTTGCAGGGGGCTAGATAAACCGTTCTTCGAAGTGTTCGGCCCATCTTCCAAGATGTTTTTGAGAGAATTATTGAGCCACCTCTTCCACTTATCGCTTCACTTACGGCTGCATTCCTAGGGCCAGTAGATCGTATCAGCTGATAAAGGGCACAGTTGTTCCCGGTAGCAAAAGCCTTCTTTATCTCCCGAGCTTTCGTTATCCACTAGAGCTCTCGGTCATTTCTTGGGCTCTTCACTATTTAACGTTTGAGGGATTTATGTGCGCCGTCGTACGGACGTTAAAAGTGTTATATACTAACGTTGTGTTAAACTGTTTACTCGG